GTAAGTCTAAACCACGCTCAAGTCTCTACTCTGATTGGCCAGCAGAGAGGTGGGAAACTCTCTCTGTCAGAGTATTTGAGCAACAATCTGAAACAATGGATTAGTTCTCTGAAGTGCCCTGCGAGGTATTTCAAAGAGCCCGTATATACGAAACATCATATTTACCATTGAAGGTTTTTGCATTAATTAAAATAACTAGTATATCTTAGAAGTCGTGTTGACCTCTTTTGTTCCTAATGCCAGATTTGAATTGACGCAACTTTGACAGACTCAAGTGAAAACATTGTGAACATGAGGAGCAGATATCACTCTCATCTGCCATAATTTAAATAGAGTGATGAGTGTCGAGTGTCATATCGATCTGACCCAAAACGTACAGACAGCACTCGTGACCCAGAGGATGACAGAGTGTTTCTACACATCACCAACATACAACCATTTGATGAAGGGAACTACACCTGTGAGTGTTCACATCATGGAGGAACACATCTTTTGCATTTCAGTATTTCTGTCAAAGGTAAGTGTTTGGAGTTTTTCCAGGTTATAGAGCTCGCCAGCTTGTAGTCCTAAAAACCGAAAATTAGTTACCTCTGGTTCGTTCAGCCCTTCCTATGGGGAACATGAATGGAGAAAGAATACGTTTTTGGAATAAACACCGAAAATAAGGTCTGAGGTTAACACAGGTTTAGGAGATATTATACATTTTGTTCTATGAGATAATATCAGTCAGTTAACATGACCTTTATGAATTATGAAGCCTTCATGTGCTTTATGTGTTCTTTATTATTACATAAATGCTTCAAAAATCACAAAAAATGATGTTAGCTGATGAAGATGATCTCATAGAACAAAACGTATAAGACCACAGACCTTATTTTCAGCGTTTATCAAAAAACCCTACAAAAACTCCATTAATTTTCCCAGTCTTTGCCCGAAGAACCATGGCGGAGTTAGTGCCTACAAAAATAAGCCATCTCTATAAGTAGGCTATACAATTCCCCTCCCAAAATATACTAACATTGATTATTATAAATGTAGGGCCTATAGGCTAACCCTATAGGTTTGTCTCACCTTTAGAAAATAATGCAATATCGACAACGTTATCATGAACTTGTTTATATTTAGCTGATATTAAATATACAACATAATACAACTTTATTTTAACTGGGCCCTTTAACAAATGAATACTGCTATAACAACTACTTACCCCTTGAGCAGTGCATGGAGTTAGTGAGAATTATGAAATTCAGTCATCTGTGTGGTGTAAAACATAATCTGGTACACTGAATATCAAATCCATGTTTCAAAAGTCTTTCACCTGAACACACCGGGTGTGATGCGTTCTGCCTCTTCATGAGTGGCGTCAGAGAGTCTGTCTAGTCAACTGTGGATCGAGTGTACAATTGGTGGCGCGCAGTTGCATGGGCACTGCAAAAATAGCAAAACCGTTTCTCTACCACCTCTCTCCCTAAGATGACCCCTAGTGGCAATTGTTTGTAACTTTGGCTGGTCTCGACTGGTAGAAGAATCAAAGACGATTCATTTTTGAAGTATTGCCACTAGCAGATTTATGACACCATATAACAAGCAATGTCACAACATACATTACAACATTGTTTAAACATTTTATTTATAAAAGTAGAACAAAGACAATACACACAAAGTACATTACAATATTGTGTATCTTACAGCATTTGATTTATAAAGAAAGAAGAGAACCACACACACACCATGAAAGTAGTCTACATGATGACATTGTGTAGGTTATAATATTATAACACACACCATGAAAGTAGTCTACATGATGACATTGTGTAGATTATAATATTATAACACACACCATAAAAGTAGTCTACATGATGACATTGTGTAGGCTATAATATTATAACACACACCATGAAAGTAGTCTACATGATGACATTGTGTAGGTTATAATATTATAACACACACCATGAAAGTAGTCTACATGATGACATTGTGTAGGTTATAATATTATAACACACAACATGAAAGTAGTCTACATGATGACATTGTGTAGAGTATAATATTATAACACACACCATGAAAGTAGTCTACATGATGACATTGTGTAGGTTATAATATTATAACACACACCATGAAAGTAGTCTACATGATGACATTGTGTAGGTATAATATTATAACACACCACCATGAAAGTAGTCTACATGATGACATTGTGTAGATTATAATATTATAACACACCACCATGAAAGTAGTCTACATGATGACATTGTGTAGATTATAATATTATAACACACACCATGAAAGTAGTCTACATGATGACAATTGTGTAGGTTATAATATTATAAACACACACCATGAAAGTAGTCTACATGATGACATTGTGTAGGTTATAATATTATAACACACACCATGAAAGTAGTCTACATGATGGACATGTGTAGGCTATAATATTTATAAACACACACCATGAAAGTAGTCTACATGATGACATTGTGTAGATTATAATATTATAACACACACCATGAAAGTAGTCTACATGATGACATTGTGTAGATTATAATATTATAACACACACCATGACAGTAGTCTACATGATGACATTGTGTAGGTTATAATATTACAACAATTGATTTATTTAAAAAAGTGAAGAATAAAACAAAACACAAGTCTAGTGTGGATTTATCATTTTTCATCATTACCCAACTGCTAAATATATTTACATACACACTGTATTTACATATACAGTAACCAGCAGGTCTATGTGTGTCGTCCATTCAGTCCACTATTCAGTTTCCACAATGCCTATGGATAGAAATGGTCTCTGAACCACACAGATGTGTGAGAGACAGTGTGGTAGTCACTCAGTTCTCGTAACCCTCTAAAAGGTTCCTAAGATAGAAAAGGAGAAACTGTCAAGTGTTGACAGCTATGGTCTAATACAAACAAATAGCTGAACAAGGTGTTTAAAATACCATTAAAGTGATCATTCTACTGTACATCCAGCAACAAGCACTGATTTTTGATAAGGGATCAATCAATGCCAAGACCTTTACCTAAATAAGATACAACAGAATGGCACAGATATATATATATATATATATTTTTTTTTAAAGATACTTCTGACTGCATCTTTGTAATTATTTATGATTATTTCAGCTCACCTTCTACATTGCAGGTCATCTGGTCTCTCAAGAGATATTCTGTATAAAAGAAGGTAATTTAAATATTGACTGAATGGAGTATCCTATATTAGTGACATGATTAACATAACATAACAACAATGCAGCAATGCAACAATTGCAACTCATTTGCATGTATGCAGTCACCATGACTACCACCACAGAACATCATTCCAGAGCTTCTTGTTGAGAGAATAAAATAAAAGAGGACTTAAACCTACTTCTCTACAAACATACTGAGGGACTGTAACCTGAAACACAAAAAGTACATTTTGGAGTGATGTTTTGAATTTTGGTGTTATTGTGACACATTAACATTCACAATCATCTCTGTTTCAAGCACTCTACCAGGATGATAAAAATAAGGCTGTACAAATACTCACATTTGGAATGGACTGGAGGTTGGTGTGGTCCTGAAAAGAAATGAAGACGTCAATGTGTTGATAAGGACCATATTATCTGTGGTAACAGACAGTCAGTGCCGTTTCTAGACGTAAGTGACATAAGTGGCTGCTTAGAGCCCCGCAGCCACTAGGGGGCCCCCAACCAAAACAATGTTTTTATATACAGTATATATCATATGTTTTAGGAAGTCAGTCGGGGTTTCAACATACTGTTGAATTGCAGGACATTAACTTTTAAGCTGCACATTTTTCTCTCTACCGCCAAGAGGAGGGCCACTAAAATGTTTTGCCCCCAAGGGCAGACAGTGATGTAAACACTGACATAATAAACATGACCACTCTTTGATCACAGAAACACACATCTTTCCCAAGTTTCCCAAGTTGAGAGAATATATAGTGCATTAGTGACATGATGATTAACAAAGCGGAACAAATACTAACATGCAGCTGACTGCATGGATGCAGACAACATGACCACTCTATGACCACCACAACAGTACATCATTTCAGAGCTTCTTCCTGAAGAAGAGAGACTACAGCAGACAGTGAGAGAATGAAGATGGAAACCTTCCTCTTTACAGCCTCCTGAGCTGGTTGCATCCTGCGCTTGGCAGACTAACAAAAAAGTAAATGTTTCAGTTTTGTTTTTGGGGTTATTGTAATTTATCCTAAAATCTTTTGTAACGTTCTCTGTCTCCCCTGTTTCAAGCACTTTATCAAGATAATAAAATAAAGTTGTACAAATATTCACATTTGTGATGGAGTGAAGGTTGGTGTGTCCCTGGTTGGTGGACTGGAGGTTGGTGTGTCCCTGGTTGGTGGACTGGAGGTTGGTGTGTCCCTGGTTGGTGGACTGGAGGTTGGTGTGTCCCTGAAATAAATAAAACATGTCAATGTACTGACATGAGCAAATATTTTTTTTTTACCTGTGTGGCACACTTTTTTTTTTACAATACATTAGCATGTTTCAGGTTCTTACAAATAGATTTGATGGACCTATTGACCCCTTAAAGGTTCTTTAGAATGAGTCTCACCATTCAGTTGGTGTCTTTGTGGGAGTCCTACTGATTTCAGGGTCAGACGCTGGGGCTTTTCTGTACATCAAATTAGAGATCAACTGGTAAACAACTGGCAGTCAAATCACATTAAAATCATAGTAACTGTTTTCATTTTCAAGGTAATATTTTGTATCTCTACCTGGACGAGGCATCTTTTATCCTCTTTAGCAGCAACACTAATACACAGAGTACAGCAATGATACACACTGAACCAACCACTGAACCAGCCACTGAACCAGCCACTGAACCAGCCACTGCATCTGTGAATGACAGAGATGACAAGAGAAGACGTATGTCAAATTCACAGGTACACTACACCTGAAAATTAAATCATAAAAGAGCAAAGACAATAGGTTGACTATGACTTGTCATTTTTAGAATAACAACCACTTACCACTGATCCAGTCATCATCAGAAACCTGAGATTGACCTAACATAGAAATACACAGACAGTACTTCATCATGAAGACAGGCAGTACATCATCATGAACACAGGCAGTACTTCATCATGAACACAGGCAGTACTTCATCATGAACACCGGCAGTACTTCACCATGAACACTGGCAGTACTTCATCATGAACAAAGGCAGTACTTCATCATGAACACAGGCAGTACATCATCATGACATCATCCTGATCATGTCAATATATTATGGTGGTGTAAACCCTAACCATTTCTCACCTGCAAATGAAGCTTGATCCCTAGCTGGAATCACCATGGAACGCTGCTTGATGGCACCGCCGGATGACACTACACACCTAACCATGGTGTCTTTGTCAGGGAGACTGAATGCTGCCACCGTGGCAGTTATGGTGACAGTGACAGTTCCATTGGGATGGGTGACATTGGCAATTGTGAAATTTTCTAGAATTTCTGAGTCTTCCCAGGTCACTATAGGAGCAGGTCGTCCAGTAGCAGAACAGGACAGAGTGGTGTGACTGTTGTTGGTTTGTGTGATGAGGAGTGAGGGTCCATACAGCTCTACAGAACAACAACAGACACAGATCACAGTGAATGTAAATACTATAATGTTTTCATGTACATCAAGGTCAAATGGATGCATGATGATTTGAGGGAATTGTTCCTGGGTTAATCATTTGCACACAGGTCAAGGTTGAACAATGGATTGAAGGCATTTGGAGGCCATTGTTCCTGTTTTAAAGGGATATAACACATTGTTTTAAGACCTCAAAAGTAGTCTAGTGTTAAGGTGAATCCACATTATACCATTTTGATTTTAGAGTGTAATGTCCCTTTAACCCCTCATATTTTACCATTAACTCGGAGACAGGTCCTGCCACTGATAGCTCCATCTGGATAGGCGTTAAACAGACACTTGTAGCAGGACTCGTCTCCTCTTGACACTCCTCTGATGATGATAGAGCAGTTCTGCAGACCCTCGTCTTCAAACTCCACTTTCCCCTTAAAAGGTGGGTTGACTACTGGTCCAAATCGTTTGTTGTAGGTGGCCACATTTTCAATCGCCCCTGGTGTCACTTTCTGCCAGGTGACTTGAAGCACGTCTTTGGGTCTCATGAGCCTGCAGCTGAAGTGAGCGTCCTCTCCCAGGGTTGCTGTGACAACCTGCTGTGTTCTCACCAGCTGAGAGAACCCTGCATGAAGACAGTTACAGGCTAGTTAGTACACACATCTAATTTAGCGCTACATTTTAGCAACCTGCAGTGCACACTGTGAAGGGATTAAACAACTACATAAATATATTTAATGGTATATGCAGCATTGTATCAATCAGTTGAAATCCCATTCTGTATGTTTGTACATTTCAAAGGACTCTTGGAAGACTAGCCCTTGGTGGGCTAAAAGAGATCCTAATAAAAAAAATTGTAGGTTGTTATATTTGTATTAAGTTTGAGACAAGTATGTTAATGTTGTACTTAGTTTCCCTTGACTCCTTTCCAGTTTCAGTTATTATCCAATTAATTGACTGGGCAGTGTTCTTTTTGTATTCTGACAACAAATCCATTTTTTTGCTATAGCTGATGTAATGCATCATATGTCAGCTACTGAAATATATATTTTAATTGTAAACTGGTCCCTGACAAGTAAATGTACTAAAATAAAGTAAAATACATCATGCAGAGGGGCAAATTGGGATATATGTTAATAAGACAGATGTATTTTGAGCCAACACAGTATTTTAAGTTGAGATTTTCAGCAAACTCAAATTGTTTCATTCAACTCACAATGAGCAAAAATCATTGGGTTAGTGAAGTATTCCATGTCAGCTCAACAATCTCCCAATGCAAATGTCCAGTCAGCTTAGATATTTAAGCAACATGGACTTTTTCTAAGTTGCATTTTTTTTTACAGTATAGAACAGGAAGATGATGATGTTTGTATACTGATGGTGACCGGACCAGCCATTCACCAGTAAAAAGGAACCTTAGCTTCAAACAATGTTTCAAAATAATTGTATACCTTTAAGGTCTATTTGCAGTTACACCTGATGCATAATGCACCTATACATTTAGTGTAGTTCATATGAAAACTGATGTAACTCACCCTCAGCAAGGAATAGCAGCAGAACAGAAAGGCAACTTTTAACACGAGCCATGGCAGCAATGTGAGGCTAGGTGAGGCTAGGTGATGTAAATGGAGGTCTGGATGATGTGCGGCAAAGTAGTATTTCCAGCTAGGAACCGTTTTCAAGGGATGCATTGTGGGAGGCATGGTAATGTAGTCCGTTGGATAGTTTAAAATCTAACAACTCTGTTCGTCAACCTTGTTGGCCAATGTTGAATTTGGCTTTGTGTTGGGAACTCCTCCCATAGAGATGAGGACAGTTGCTAGTCTCTCTACAGCTCCTCCTCCAGTGAAAGTAAACACAAAACAGTATCAGGAAAACACAGTTGAAAGGTTGGAGGTAATAACATTATGTATCATCATGCATAGCTAAATGAATCTAATGGTGAGATTAACTTAACCTATATGAAGGTTTTTCCCTTGTGTGTGTCAGTGCCATTGCTTGCTCAAAGATGTAGCTGTGAAGTAAGTCTCTCCCGACAGCCGTTTGTTGACTGGCCCAGCAAATTGAGTGTGAAATCAAAGATAAGGGTGGCGTCTGAACTATGCTCCACACAGCAAGCAGATTTGATTTGTAAGTATATTATACATGTGCAGCCAGCATGCTCAACCAAGTGAGTGTGGGAATGACATGTAAGATATTCATGTGTGAAGGGGGAAATGGACTAGCCTGAGCACCAGTCTCTTTAGCTAACATTCCACTCCTCGTCATTGTCAAAGAAGTTCAAACGTTCAATATGCAGCCGGATTTATGGCGCAGTTATTGTTATTTTCGATGACAACGTCATGGAACATGGGGTGCGCGCAGATTTGGCGCAATATAGAATTAGAAGTAGAACAACAATAGCTTTACGACCTGATGCGGTAATTCCCTTGTGAGAAGGCAGTGTCAATGCAAGATTTCTCCTTTCCTAAAAACGTAGGCTATTCAAAACCTAGGCTTACATTCTAATCTTGGCTGTAGTGCATCAGAACGTAGGCCTAGGCTATACTCTTAAAAAAAGGTTCCTTATAGAACCAAAAAGGGTTATATCGCTTGCTTCATATATGGAACCACTAAAAGTTCTATACAGAATCCTGCATGGTGCCATTTATGAATTATGGCTATTACTATTAAATAGTAATATTTATAGCTACGAATGTAATTTAATAAACAATTAAATCATGGACAAAATAATACCAGCATTGTTTTTACATTTTATTGTCATTATAGGCAAACATAGTTTGGAAATGTGCACTGGTGGCCAGGGTGGCATGTCTTTGTTTAAATGATGGCCCACGTCATCTCTGGCTGACTTATTTACAATACAACTTTATTCATTAGTTACAGCGAACAACAAAAACGTGTTTTTTGCTCCGTTCTCAACCCGGATGTACATTTACTATGTTATGTCTAGTCCATGAGCCCAGGCTGTTTTGTTAGATATTTTCTCAAATCCCCACTCTGGGATGGGAATAGAGCCCTCAAAGTTATTTGCCTTCACTAGGAATATACACGTAGTGGCCAGTTTACTAGGTACACCCATCTAGTACTGGGTCGGACCCCCCTTTGCCTCCAGCGCAACCAGAATTTTTTGGGGCATGGAAACGTTGGTCAATTGGTTTCAAGGGACATAATGTGTGCCAGGAAAACATTCCCCAGACCATTACACCACAGCCACCAGCCTATACTGTTGACACCAGGCAGAATAGGGCCAGGGCCTAATGCTGATTACTCCAAATCCTGACTCGGTCATCAGCATGATGCAACAGGAACGGGGATTCGTCAGACCAGGCGATATTTTTCCACTCCTCAATTTTCCAATGTTGGTGATCGCGTGCCCACTTGAGCCGTTTCTTCTTGTTTTTAGCTGATAGGAGTGGAACCCGGTGTGGTCATGTGCTTCAATAGCCCATCCGTGACAAGGACCGAAGAGTTGTGCTTTCCCGAGATGCCGTTCTGCACACCACTGTTGTACTGCGCCGTTATTTGCCTGTTAGCTTGCACGATTCTTGCCATTCTCCTTCGACCTCTCATCAACCAGCTGTCTGTAGGAGCAAACCATTTTTGTGAACTGGGTGGTGTCCCTAATAAACTGACCACAAAGTGTACACTGAGTGTACAAAACATGAATACCTTCCTAATATTGAGTTGGAACCTCAGAACAGCCTCAATTTGACGGGGCATGGACTCTACAATGTGTCGAAAGCGTTCCACAGGGATGCTGGCCCATGTTGACTCCAATGCTTCCCACAATTGTGTCAAGTTGGCTGGATGTCCTTTGGGTGGTGGACCATTCTTAATACACACGGGAAACTGTTGAGCGCGAAAATCACAGCAGCATTGCAGTTCTTGATACACTCAAACCAGTGTGCCTGGCACCTACTACTTGAATCGATTGTCTTTCCCATTCACCCTCTGAATGGCACACATACATAACCCATGTCTCAATTGTCTCAAGACATAAAAATCCTTCTTTAACCTGTCTCCTCCTCTTCATCTACACTGATTGAAGTGGATTTAACAAGTGACATCAATAAGGGATCATAGCTTTCACCTGGATGAATCTGGTCAGTCTATATCATGGAAAGAGCAGCTGTTCCTAATGGTTTGTCTTTAATCTCATCCAAAGAACCAAACGGTTCTATATAGAACCCCAAATAACCATTTTTTCCCTAAGTGGAGGCCTATATTATAGCATAATCCTAAAATAATATTGCCTATCAAATGAATTGACAAGGAAAGATTGAAGGGGTGGGAGAGAGCGGGACAGCTAATAGTATTACTAGAGACGTTGGTTATGTCATTACTATCCAATCATGTGCCTGATTCCAGAGGAAGATTGGCAAGGGTTTCGTTTTTACAAACTGCTCCCTGTAATTCTTTTTTTTTTTTCCACAATAAATTGAATCAATGACGGAAGCCTGGTGGTTTTTAATTCCAGCCGTGAAGCCATTTCAACATCATGTCTAGATGATGAAAGGCTACAGTGATGACTCGGCTTGGCTGCCAAATGTCCCCGTAGGTCTATCATTATTTTAGAGATCGACGGTTGATGTCCCTCCTAATGAAAAGGGCCCCTTCCTGCTGATGTGAGCTGCTGGACAGCGCACTTGCACTTGATGTTTATGGATGAGAACGTGAACTTGCCATTTCCAAAAATAAGCTCAGTGGGAAATGGGGATTCCCTGCTTTACGATTTGCTGCCTATAGCAGCAGCCAGTGTTTCATTAAATAGGCACTATACTTTTTTATTGCACATTTAATTAAAATATATTTATATTGCATAGCACACACAGGTTGTGGTCACCTACATTCACTGTTGTAGGCTTGGTCTATACAGTGCCTTCATTCAGTTGTACAACTGACTAGGTATCCCCCTTTCCTTAATTAGTGTGTCCGAATTTGCGTACAGAATACTACGAAATGCTCTGAGACAAGGTTGCAGAACAGCACATCATTTTGGCCAGATGAGAGGCATTGAGTGACAAATCTGTAAACTCCAATGACACACACATAAGTAATAACCTTTAAACTATTTTCTAGTTATTAGATCATACCGTGAAATCCTCACCTTCTTCCCAACAACATGGAGTCACTATTGCCCCACATCACACAACTTTTTGTATGTAGATTGACTTCGGTTTATGCAAAATAAAAATAGTGTTTCATCTCTCATACATATTAAGAAGGCTATTAATCTGGTATTTAGGGGACTTTTGTTTTCTGTTTTACCTAGAACAACGCAGCCTTGCTTTGGAACTAGTTGTGGTTACAGTAGCCTTAATCTAACCAAAATATATCGAGTCTGTTTTAAACGCCCAACCGCATAACTTTCACTTTCACTCACAATATTTAAAGGTCTGACGCCAGAAACAGAAACGTGATCTTGTCGACATTCACCAGCTGAGAATGAACACTTACCTCATTCTCCTATGCTTGCTGTCTGAAGGTAAGTTATTTTCCATGGCTTCTGACCAGTTGATTCTGCTCGTATAAGATAAAGCAACATTTCCCACGTTTGACAGGTCATTGATTATTTTGTATGTAGGCTAAACTTCTTTTATTTACTTGTTTCCCTGACTTCTTTCTTTTGTAGCCGTCTCTGTCAACGTCGTAGCTAGAGGAGACACCAGGGTGGACTTCAATGGCGATGCATCATATGCCTGCACCCTTGCGGACCCGACAGGTGTGCTGCAAGTTACCTGGCAGAGGCTGTTCAAAGACGACTCGGTGGAGAATCTTGCCACCTACAGCAAGCGATTTGGAGCTCAAATCATAGACCCGCACCGAGACAAGGTGGTTTTCACTGAGGCATCTCTCAACTCGTCGTCTATTACCGTGAAGAATGTAACATGGGCGGACGAAGCCTGCTATATTTGTTCCTTCAACGTTTACCCGAGTGGATCAAGACGCAAGCAGCCTTGTCTTACCGTTCAAGGTTAGTCAACTAACTAATCAACGAATTAACTAGTTAACTATTAATGAACTGGTCAACTAATTATCCACCCTTTGATTAGGCCTAGTTGAATCAGGTGTGCCGGTGGAATAGAAGCGCTAAAAAGTCTCTGGGGGTGTTCTTGGAGAGAATCCTTTTGGGGAAAACACTGTTACATAGCATTCATAAAGTCTTCACAATAAATGCTTCACAACTAATTTATAAGCAAAATCATACAAATAAAGAGTAACGTTAGGCTTCGTTTACACAGGCACCCCAATTCTGATCTTTTGCCCAATTATTGGCAAAGGAGCTGATTAGATTGGTCAAAAGACTAATTAGTGAAAAAAGATCAGAGTTTAGCCAACCTTTACAGCAGGACTAAGGCAGGATTTCTGAATCATACAGTAGGGCCAAGGGTTTATTAAGCCATTTAAACCAAAATATGAAATGGAATTATAACTTCTCAGATTTATTGTGTTGTCCGTCTTGTAAATAATAATTTATTCTTAATTGACCTGCCTGGTAAAATGAAGGTAAAATCAATGTGAGCTAATATTCCCTGTTTCATCTATTCTAAGGTGTATCTGAAGTGAGAGCCACAATGCAAAAAGTCCCCAGCACTGAACCTAAAGCAGACATGGAAGTTGTGGTCAGCTGCTCAGCCACGGGAAAACCAGCACCTTGGATCCAATGGAACATTTCTGCAGCGGCACTAATAAAGACGCCTAACAACTGGACTGTCGTTAACAAAGACCAAACTGTCACAGCCATTAGCAACATCACCCTCCAACTGTTGCCAGGTTCAGGGGGATACGTGGACTGTATGGTAAACAATGGGATGAGGACACAGAGACACGAGAGAGTTCTGCTTCCTGTTCTCCCTGGAGAGAGGGAGGTTGAAGAGGGTACGTAATGTTGACGTGTCATATACTTTTAGACCATACACTTTTAGAGTGTCAGTTCAGTACAGAATGGTCCAACTTGAAAACGACATTGAGAAAACATCCTCATCCCCAGTGGCATGGTGGGATAGCCTAGTGAACCAGCCAGATCGTGCGATAGCTCACTATTCTAACAGAATGGTGAGCACGATGAGATCAGGCTGGTTGCAAGAGGCTAATGTTGTGATGCTGGTAGTGCTGTTAATCTAATCGCACCAGTTAAGTTTCATTTTGACTTCTGTGGTAAAGAATCACGAGTCACTCCCTGTAGAGTCAAGTGTGTTATTGAGTTCTGAGTAGTTTCCTGCCCCTCAGGGAAGGTAAATGAAGGATGGATGATATGTTAAAGGGGAAAACCATATCAACATTCTATTCAAACAGACTTAATTGAAAAGGGCGGCAGGTAGCTTAGTGGTTAAGAGCGTTGTGCCAGTAACCGAAAGGTCGCTGGTTCTAATCCCCGAGCCGACTAGGTGAAAAATCTGTCGATGTGCACTTGAGCAAGGCACTTAACCCTAATTGCTCCTGTAAGTCGCTCTGGATAAGAGCGTCTGCTAAATGACCAATTTATATTATTTATAAAAGAGGAGGTACAATTCCCAGCTTCCTCTTCTCAAGAAATAGGATCTCTTCAAATGCATGCTCACTGCAATTTCATGTTTCACCATCCAGATGACAAGAGGATATCCCCGTGGGCGGTTGGCATTCCAGTTATCCTAATCATTTCCTTTTTAGTCATCTGCGGCAGTGTCATGCTTCAAAAGAAAAAAGGTGAGTCCGCACAAGATTACCATAAGGTTGAAGGAATTGTCCGTAGAGCTCAGAGACAGGATTGTGTCAAGGCACAGATCTGGGGAAGGGTACCAAAAAATGTCTGCAGCATTGAAGGTCCCCAAGAACACAGTGGCCTCCATCATTCTTAAATGGAAGAAGTTTGGAACCACCTAGACTCTTCCTAGAGCTGGCTGCCCGGCCAAACTGAGCAATCGGGGGAGAAGGGCCTTAGTCAGGGAGGTGACCAAGAACCCGATGGTCACTGACAGAGCTCCAGAGTTCCTCTGTGGAGATGGGAGAACCTTCCAGAATCAGGCCTTTATGGTAGAGTGGCCAGACGGAAGCCACTCCTCAGTAAAAGACACATGACAGCCCGCTTGGAGTTTGCCAAAAGGCACCTAAAGGACTCTCAAACCATGAGAAACAAGATTCTCTGGTCTGATGAAACCAAGATTGAACTCTTTGGCCTGAATGCCAATCGTTTTCCAGCGGCAGGGACTTGGAGACTAGTCAGGATAAAGGGAAAGATTAATGGACAAAAGTACAGAGAGATCCTTGATGAAAACCTGCTCCAGAGCACTCAGGACCTCAGACTGGGGTGAAGGTTCACCTTCACCACCAGGGGGGGGGGGATATATTTGTCTGTGTTAGGCTTCTATTTAATTTAACTTGAATCCATTTTGAGATGATAGCACCTGTGTTAATGTAAGGTTTATGCTGTTATTATTACATCCTGTACCTATAGTAATATAGATACATTAATGTTTTACCTCCTTTGTTATATCAATGCAATGTATGAATGTATTTGAGCACTGAAAATGTAATGGTGATGATGACAATGTTTGCACTTTGATTGTTTGATATACTGTACCTTGTTCACTAGATTTAAGTGTATCACATTTTAGTTCCTGTTTGTATTTATTTTGATCATGGATGTTGCTCGTTGTGTTTGACCTCACTTGATTTGACACTGTTTATAAATCAGGCTATTATTCTCGCTTGATCTGTACAATGTTTTAGATTGTTTAAGATTCAAAAGCATTCTTTAAATGTATTGTGTTCTCCCCTATAAAACTATATGCTGTATTTAAAAAATCACAAACTGCCCATTGTCACCTTGTTTACAGTAACATCACCATTTAAATCAGGGTTAGGTTGTTATAGGTCTGCACCAGGCTCACTTGGCGGTGTGTGTAATATTTTGAGAAGAGTTCATCTAATTAACCTTCTCAACTAAAACTGGTAAAACACCAGCAGAGTTTACTTTTACTGTATGGGGAGGGACTTCTGCCAAAAAGGTCGGTATGTGATAGGTCCATTCGAATCAGGAGGGAAATTCACAATTCTTCCTAAGAACTCACATTTTCACCATGGCTCCTGCACTCCACAACTATCTGTTTATTTAGCTAATAGTCCTCCCTAAAGGTGAGTTATATCAGTTTTATGCATGATATACTGCATTTGTCAGCTTTCTATTTTAATTGAAAAAGTATTGCTGACACTCTAGCTTTTCTTTATGAAATGAGGTGCTTTAAAAACCTGTTTAACTGATCAAACCTATTTATTTCAATACACTGCATTCATCATTTTATTTATCTTCCACTATACAGATAGACTAAAATATATACAGATGAATGTAGTGAAAGTCACTGTATAAACTGTATAGTACATTTTACATTTAGCAGATGCTCTTATCCAGAGCGACTTACAGGAGCAATTAGGGTTAAGTGCCTTGCTCAAGGGCACATCGACAGATTTTTCACCTAGTCGGGTCGGGGATTAGAACCAGCGACCTTTCGGTTACTGGCACAACGCTCTTAACCACTAAGCTACCTGCCGCCCCACTAGTATAGTGGAAGTCAATGTATAAACTGTATAGTGTAGTGGAAGTCACTGTATTAACTGTATATTTAACTATTTATTTTTTATTTAACCTGTATTTAATTAGACATGCCAGTTAAGAACAAATTATTTACAATGACGGCCTACCAAAAGGCAAAGGCCTCCTGCGGGTACGGGGGCTGGGATTAAAAATAAATATATAGGGCAAAACACATCAAGACAAGACAGACCTAACACAACATAGCATGGAAGCAACACATGACAACACAGCATGGTAGCAACACCACATGACAACAACATGGTAGCAACATTATTGGGCACAGACAACAGCACAAAGGCAAGAAGGTAGAGACAACAATACATCACGCGAAGCAGCCACAAATGTCAGTAAGAGTGTCCATGATTGAGTCTTTGAATGAAGAGATGGAGCTCAAACTGTCTAGTGTTTTTTGCAGCTCGTTCCAGTCGCTAGCTGAAGCGAAATGAAAAGAGGAGCGACCCAGGGATGTGTGCGCTTTGGGGACCTTTAACAGAATGTGACTGGCAGAACGGGTGTTGTATGTGGAGGATGAGGGCTGCAGTAGGTATCTCAGATAGGGGGGAGTGAGGCCTAAGAGGGTTTTATAAATAAGCATCAACCAGTGGGTCTTGCGACGGGTATACAGAGATGACCAGTTTACAGAGGAGTATAGAGTGCAGTGATGTGTCCTATAAGGAGCATTGGTGGCAAATCTGATGGCCGATTGGTAAAGAACATCTAGCCGCTCGAGAGCACCCTTACCTGCAGATCCATAAATTACGTCTCCATAATCCAATAAAGAGCTCCCGAGTGCCGCAGCGGTCTAGAGGCGTCACTACAGACCCGGGTTTGATCCCGGGCTGTATCACAACCGGCCGTGATCGGGAGTCTCATAGGGCGGCGCACAATTGGTCCCGCGTCGTCCGGGTTAGGGGAGGGTTTGGCCCAACGTCATCCGGGTTAGGGGAGAGTTTGGCCCAACGTCATCCGGGTTAGGGGAGGGTTTGGCCGAGGGGGCTTTACAAGTAGGCCGTTATTGTAAATACAAATTCTTAACTGACCTGCCTAGTTAAATAAAGGTTAAATAAAATAAAATACAAATCTAGCATGGGTAGGATGGTCATCTGAATCAGGGTTAGTTTGGTTAAGTATGATTTAATCAGTGAACAAAGTAAGAGGATTGATCTAAAGCCATAGCTCCTTATATCAACTGATATCCACACGTTCTGTAGTTGATGTTACTTTAATAATTCAACACATGAACCCATACTGCAGTCAGTTTAAAAGTCCCTTCATTCATAACTTCCTCCTACTGTACCTAGACTAGATTATAGACTAGTTCTGTACTCCCCCTTCTGGCCATTCTGAGAACTACACCACTATATATTGTATACAGTGAATCCGGAAAGTATTCAGACTCCTTCACTTTTTCCATATTTTCTTACGTTACAGCCTTATTCTAAAATCGATTAAATTGTTTTTTTCCCCTCATCAATCTACACACAATATCGCAAAATAACAAAGCATAAAACAGGTTTTCAGAAATGTTTGTAATTTTAATATTACATTTACATAAGTATTCAAATCAAATCAAATCAAATTGTATTGGTCACATGCGCCGAATACAACAGGTGCAGACATTACAGTGAAATGCTTACTTACAGCCCTTAACCAACAGTGCATTTATTTTTTTGTTGTTGTTTTAAAAATAAAACAACAAAAAAAGTGTTGAGAAAAAAAAGAGCAGAAGTAAAATAAAATAACAGTGTATTCAGACCCTTTACTCAGTACTTTGTTGAAGCACCTTTCGCAGCGATTACAGCCTTGAGTCTTCTTGAGTATGACGCTATAAGCTTGGCACACCTGTATTTAGGGTGTTTCTCCCATTCTTCTCTGCAGATCCTCTGAAGCTCTGTCAGGTTGGATGGGGGGCGTCACTGCACAGCTATTTTCAGGTCTCTCCACAGATGTTCGATCGGGTTCAAGTTCGGGCTCTGGCTCTGGCTGGGCCACTCAAGGACATTCAGAGACTTGTCCCGAAGCTTGTCCTGCATTGTCTTGGCTGTGTGCTTAAGGTCGTTGTCCTGTTGGAAGGTGAACCTTCGCCCCAGTCTGAGGTCCTGAGCAGGTTTTCATCAAGGATCTCTCTGTGCTTTGCTCCGTTCATCTTTCCCTCAATCCTGACTAGTCTCCCAGTCCCTGCCGCTGAAAAACATCCCCACAGCATGATGCTGCCACCACCAGGCTTCCCTGTAGGGATGGTGCTAGGTTTCCTCCAGAAGTGACACTTGGCATTCAGGCCAAAGAGTTCAATCTTGGTTTCATCAGACCAGAGAATCTTGTTTCTCATGGTCTGAGAGTCCTTTAGGTGCCTTTTGGCAAACTCCAAGCGGGCTGTCATGTGACTTTTACTGAGGAGTGGCTTCCGTCTGGCCACTCTACCATAAAGGCCTGATTGGTGGATTGCTGCAGAGATGGTTGTCCTTCTGGAAGGTTCTCCCATCTCCATAGAGGAACTCTGGAGCTATGTCAGAGTGACCATCGGGTTCTTGGTCACCTCCCTGACCTAGGCCCTTCTCCCCCGATTGCTCAGTTTGGCCGGACGGCCAACTCCAAGAAGAGTCTTTGTGGTTCCAAACTCCTTCCATTTAAGAATGATGGAGGCCACTGTGTTCTTGGGGGCCTTCAATGCTGCAGACATTTTTTGGTTGCCTTCCCAGGATCTGTGCCTCGACACAATCCTGTCTCGGAGCTCTACGGACAATTCCTTCCACCTCATGGCTTGGTTTTTTCTCTGACATGCACTGTCAACTGTGGGACCTTATATAGACAGGTGTGTGCCTTTCCAAACCATCTCCAATCAATCGAATTTAACACAGGTGGACTCCAATCAAGTTGTAGAAACATCTCAAGGATGATCAATGGAAACAGGATGCATCTGAGCTCAATTTCGAGTCTCATAGCAAAGGGTCTGAATACTTATGTAAATAAAGTATTTCTGTTTTTTATTTTTAATACATTTGCAAAAACATTTAAACAACTGTTTTCGCTTTGTCATTATGGGGAATTGTGTGTAGATTGATGAGATATTAATTTTAATTTAGTCCATTTTAGAATAAGGCTGTAGAGTAACAAAATGTGGAAAAAGTCAAGGGGTCTGAATATTTTCTGAATGCCCTGAATATACTGTTTATACTGTAACACTTTCTATGAAACCCATGATGCATTATACAGCATTATGCATGTACTCATAATGTACTATGATAGGGTAATAATTTACCTATCTAGCTGACATGGGCTAGTAGTTGATCAACTGTTTTTTTCTGACTGGTTATAAACAGCTCACTAAGGTCTGTCAGGGAATGACATAACAAGAGGAAAACTGCTCATACACTACCACATTTCGAAATCGCACCTTGTGGATTCTACTATTGCAGCTATCAACAGCAGTAAATTGAAGGCCTGACTGAGTTCCTAAAAAAATCTCGGACCCGCGGCCCGTATCGAGTCCGTTCTAGGTGTGGATCCAAGACCGCGGCCCGTATTGACCCCGTTCTAGGTCCAGATCTGGACCACGGTCGCCATTTGAGTATGGCTGCTCTATAAAGTAATCTTTGATTGGTTTAGCTAAAGTGATGAAATGCCTAATAATAAAGTGGTCATTGTCCGCTTTTAGTGAAGTGAAACTTTATGCACATTTTATGATGACATCACAAATATGTTTCATTCTGTCTCACTGTTCTTTATTCAAACAGTTACACAACACTACATAACATAACATAACATCACAACATAACATAAATTGCCTCAAAATTATACTATTGGCAATTTGGCACTCCTGCACGTTGTATTAACATAAATAGTCAAAAATAGAAACAGGCAAAGCCCTGTGTGACAAAATATAGAAAATTATGGCTTTTCTCCAAAGCGACTTACAATACAGTGTATACATTTTTTTGTAATATGGTCCCAGCGGGAATCAAACCCACAATGCACCATGCTCTGCCAACTGTGTGTGTGTGAGTTTGTAATATAGTAAGTACTAAGTAGTGTGTAACTGTCTTCATGAAGGGCTCTCTCAGTTGGTGAGAACACAGCAGGTTGTCACTGCAATCCTGGGAGAAGATGCAGTCTTAAACTGTGAACTCATGAAACCCAAAGAAGTGCAGCAAGTAACCTGGCAAAAATTGACACCAGGGGCGAATGAAAATGTGGCCACCTACAGTAAACGTGGTCCCAATGTCAACCCACCTTTTAAGGGGAAAGTTGAGTTTGAAGACGAGGGTCTGCAGAACTGCTCTATCATCATCAGAGGAGTATCAAGAGGAGACGAGTCCTGCTACAAGTGTCTGTTTAACACCTTTCCAGATGGAGCTATCAGCGGAAGGACCTGCCTCCAAGTCAATGGTAAAAACTGATAACATAATGTACTGTAAATGATTGACCCAGAACAACTTCTTCAGAATTTCAGGCAGCCATTTTATCAGATCATACATCCAATGTCTTGAAACCTTTTATCAAAATTGAATAATTTAGTAAACCACAAACCGCGGGCTCAGCTTCCGGCAGGGCAGGCGGAGGGGCAGATTCCGGGTTGAGAGCCAGACCCGATCACCCGGTACAAAGACCGGGGCCTCACTGCGGTGGCGGTCAGCGTTGGCCTTCTGACAATGCACGGCGCGTTGGAGGTGGACATGAGCAGCGTTCCACGTCTCCTCCATGCGGCGAAACCAGTCATCCACCGCAGGAACCTCGGTCTGGCTCTGGTGCCACAGTGCCAGAACCGGTTGATAACCTAAAACACATTGGGATGGAGTTAGGTTAGTGGAGGAGTGACGGAGAGTGTTCTGGGTATATTCGGCCCATGGCAAGAACACAGACCACTCCCCCGGCCGGTCCTGGCAGTAGGACCGCAGGAACTTACCCACATCCTGATTTACCTGTTCCACCTGCCCATTACTCTCGGGGTGGAAACCAGAGGTCAGGCTGACCGAGACCCCCAGACGTTCCATGAATGCCTTCCAGACCTTGGATGTGAACTGGGGACCCCGGTCAGACACTATGTCCTCTGGTATCCCGTAGTGCCGGAAGACGTGTGTAAACAGGGCCCCGCAGTCTGCAGGGCCGTGGGGAGACCGGGCAGAGGATGGAGGCGGCAGGCCTTGGAAAAGCGGTCCACAACGACCAGGATGGTGGTGTTACCTTGAGAGAGGGGCAGATCAGTCAGGAAATCAATAATTAGGTGAGACCATGGCCGTTGTGGAACTGGTAAAGGCTGTTACTTACCCACTGGGAGGTGCCTAGGTGCCTTACTCTGGGCGCACACCGAGCAGGAGGAGACATACACCCTCACGTCCTTCGCCAAGGTAGGCCACCAGTACTTTCCGGTTAGGCAGTGCACTGTACGACCGATACCCGGGTGACCAGAGGAGGGGGACGTGTGTGCCCAGTAGATCAGACGTCACGGACAAGAGCAGGCACGTACTGCAGCCCAGCTGGACACTGAGGTGGAGATGGCTCTGTGCGTAACGCCTGCTCTATATCCACGTCCATCGCCCATACTACCGGCGCCACTATGCAGGAGGCCGGGAGTATGGGGGTGTTGTCTCTGGGCCTCTCCACTTTGTCATACAGCCGTGACAGTGCGTCTGCCTTCACGTTCTTCGTACCCGGAATGTAAGATAGAGTGAAATAAAACTGGGTGAAGAATAGGGCCCACCTGGCCTGGCGAGGGTTCAGCCTCCTCACTTCCCGGATGTACTCCAGGTTACGGTGGTCCGTCCAGACGAGGAAAGGGTGTTTCTCCCCTTCGAGCCAATGCCTCCACACGGTCAGGGCTCTGACAACAGCCAACAGCTCCCGATCACCAACGTCGTAGTTCTGCTCCGCCGGGCTGAGCTTCTTGGAGAAGAAGGCACAGGGGCGGAGCTTGGGTGGCGTGCCCGAGCGTTGACATAGGACAGCGCCTATCCCTACCTCGGACGCATCCACCTCCACTACGAACAGTAGTGATGGATCGGGGTGGGCCAGTACCAGGGCTGAGGTGAACAGACCCCTCAGGTTACTGAAGGCCCTGTCAGCCTCAGCAGACCAGCGGAGCCGGGACGGCCCACCCTTCAACAGAGATGTATTGGGAGCTGCGACCTTGCCAAAGCCCCGGATAAACCTCAGATAGTAGTTGGTGAAGCCAATAAAGCGCTGCACCTCCTTAACCGTGGTTGGAGTCGGCCAATTACGCATTGCTGAAATGCGATTTCCCTCCATCTCCACACCTGAGGTGGTAATGCGGTATCCGAGGAAGGTGACGGACTGTTGGAAAAACAGACACTTTTTTGCCTTGGCATAAAGGTCATTTTCCAACAGTCGGGCCAGCACTTTGCAAACCAGGGACACATGCTCGGCGCACATAGTGGAATACACCAGAATGTCATCGATGTAGACCACTACACCGCGACCAAGCATGTCCCGAAACACCTCGTTCACAAAGGACTGGAAGACGGATGGAGCATTCATCAAACCATAGGGCATCACCAGGTATTCATAATGCCCTGTGGTTGTGCTGAATGCTGTCTTCCACTCATCCCCCTCTCGGACATGCACCAGGTTGTACACACTCCGGATATCTAATTTGGTGAAGAAGCGCGCCCCATGCATTGACTCACCGAAGGAATGAGGGGGAGAGGATAACTAAATAGTATCGTCTCCTTGTTCAGTGATCGATAATCAATGCAAGGGCGCAGACCGCCATCTTTCTTCTTCACAAAAAATAAACTCGAGGAGGAGGGCGAAGTGGAGGGACGTATACACCCCTGTCGCAGGGACTCGGTGACGTATGTCTCAATAGCCTCCGTTTCAGCCTGTGACAGGGGATACACATGACACTGTAATCAGGAAAGTGGATGTGTAGGGTACAGTGTGCAACAGAGGGCTCTGAACGAGTGTGGGTGTTCGATACCTGGGGTGACGCGAGAGTGCCCTGCCTGCCGCCTCCAGACCCAAAAGAACGCTGATGACGACATGCGGTGAAATGTCTTCTCGTGCCACCAGAGTGACACTGGCGCTATCGTCCTCCGCTCTCTCGGATCGCCGCTCCACCCAGCTCCATCAGTTCGTGATCCGAGTCGGCCGCCAGCAGGTTGTCCAAGCGGATGGCCATGTCCACCAGTTGCGTGAAGGACAACATGGTGTCCCGGCAGGCTAGCTCCCTTCGGACGTTCTCCCGCAGATGGCACCGGAAGTGGTCGAAGAGGGCCCGCTCGTTCCACCCGGACCCAGCTGCTAGAGTCCGGAACTCCAGGGCAAAGTCCGGCGCAGTCCTCGTCCCCTGCCTCAGGTGGACCAGCCGCTCGCCCGCCTCTCGACCCTCAGGCGGGTGATCGAAGACAGCCCGAAAGAGGCGAGCGAACTCCCCGTAGTTGTCCAACGCGGCTCCTCCTTCATTCCAGACCGCGTTGGCCCACTCCAGGGCTTTCCCCGAGAGGCAGGAGACGAGGGCGGACACCTTCTCCCGCTCCAATGGGGCCGGCCTGATGCTGGAGAAGTAGAGCTCCAGTTGGAGGAGGAATCCCTGGCAGAGAGCAGCTGTCCCGTCAAACTCCCTTGGTCGGGATATATGGATCCCTCTGGATGCTGGGGTGTGGGTGGCTGGATCCGGTCGCCCAGCTGGTCTCGACAGATCGTTGGGCCAGTAACCCAAAGGTCGCTAGTTTGAACTTGAGCAAGGCAGTTAACCCTAATTGCTCCAGGGTCTCCGTTGATAATGGCAGACCCTGGCTGGTGTCTCAGGGGGAGTTGGGATATGCAACAAAATAACATTTCCAATTCAGACATGCTTATAATACACACTGTGTGAAATAGGACGAATATAAACACACACCTAATAATAATAATCTTAAACATGTTATTTATTTATTTAAATGTTATATATTTGTGTATTTTTGTATTTATTTATTAATTGTGGGAGGTGTCACACTTCATTGTCTATTGATGCTTCCAGTTGATAATGGAAAGCAGCTGCATTATAGAAAGCATACAGGGGATTCAGCAGATTACATACACAATGTTCTAAATCCTTTGCGAGTTCCTGGGGTGGATGAGGTAAGTATGGTATCTAATGTCATGTTGGCTTTCATACACTCATGGTTTTCTGAGGTACTACACATGCACCCCCATTCTGATATATTCCCAATTATGTGCAAAAGACCTGATCTGATTGGTCAAAAGACCAAGTAGTTAAAAAATATATCTGAATTGGGTTGCCTGTGTAAACAACGCTTTATGGCAGCCCATTTCAGATCTTTTGACAGTTATTTGCATATATGATACCTATCTGTTATTTTCCCTAATGTGTAAACAGCAAAAAAACACATGGAATCTGATCTTTTGTCTTCCTATTTATAACACCTCCACATGTGGAGCAGAATCCTGATACAAACCCCATCCTCCATATGCGACCTCCGTCTGAACGCTCAGATCTGATTTTTTTTGTTCTTGCACCTGACATTACCATGACAACCACCCCAAAATGTAAAGGAACAGCGACAGGAAATGAGAATTGCATCTGTGTGCTTCTTCAGAGTGTGAATTTCTTAAATCTGATATGGGTCACATGTTAAACTGAGTGTGGACAGTCAGAAAAAAAAAATCAGATTTGGGGTCTCAGGCTGCCTGTGTAAACACAGCCATAGAACTTCAGAGGAAGCACTCTTTGCTGCAGCTCAGCTGTGATATTTGTAACTTCTGACTGTTCTACACCACACGATTCTTCTAGTCAGCTGCTTATCAAAACCTTGAATAGTAGAATAATATAATATAATAAAAATAATAATATGCCATTTAGCAGACACTTTTATCCAAAGCGACTTACAGTCATGTGTGCATACATTTTTACGTATGGGTGGTCCCGGAGATCGAACCCACTACCCTGGCGTTACAAGCGCCATGCTCTACCAATTGAATCAGGTGTGGTAGAACTGGGCTGGAGCAAAAAGCCTGCACAACCACTTTAAGAGCCATTTTGGCTACCCCTGATTTATATGTAAAAAGTTCCTGTGTCTGATGATTAGGCTGTAAATTATGTATTTTGTGATAATTCACTTTTGAATAAAGGTACAGTATTTTAGTACTAGGCCTGTCCTCAGTCAACTTTAAAGTAACTTAAAAAGTTTATGTTGAAGATTTTTGTATTTTCCAGGAGCTTGCTCGATTGTCTTTCCAGTTTATCCCACATTGCCTTAAATGGGTTTCTGGTTTTTCGCTTCCCTCTGGAAAATCAGCTGTTAGTATTTCACTGTAACATTGAATAAATAATCATAACTACCTTATTTCTATTGCCATTTGTCATCATTGTGTACTTTTACTTCAGATAGATAACACATTATTGATAGCTTTCTGCATGTGGAAATGTTGTGTAATGTAATGTAAATCACCTTTTGGTGTAAAAACCATGGAAATAAACACAAAGACGATGTTTTAAATGAGAAGGTAAAAAACTGAAAAAGACAGGAAATTCTAATGAGTACCACAGCCCACTTCACCATACACTACCAAGGTTTTCCAGCAGACAGCTTTTTTGTATCCATCTTTTGCTTTAAACAGGTGTAGGATCTTAATTTGGGTCAGTTTCCTACAGCAGGAAAATAATCCTTCAGCAACAGGAAATGTGGATTATAAATCATGGACATTTTTTGTAGGGGATGATACATTTTTCGTTAGGGCAAATCAAGTTGACATTTTAAAGTGGAAATTACTAACTTCAGAAGCCTTTTTAAACTTCAAATACACTACATGTTTGCATTTCCTGCTGTGCAGGAAAATCCTCTAAAGAGTAGCTGATAATTTGACAGAAAAAAATAGTGTCAAGAGTTTGACAGAAAAAAACGATATACAGTATCAATTAATCTCAAAACAACACACACAAACAGTCCATTTCCCCCTCGACACATGAATATCTTACATGTCTTTCCCACGATCACTTGGCTGCACATGTATAATATACTTTCAAATCAAATCTGCTTGCTGTGTGGAGCATAGTTCAGACGCCACCCTCATCTTTGATTTCACACTCAATTTGCTGGGCCAGTCAACAAACGGCAGTCGGGAGAGACTTACTTCACAGCTACATCTTTGAGCAAGCAATGGCACTGACACACACAAGGGGAAAACCTTCATATAGGTTAAGTTAATCTCGCCATTAGATTCACTTAGCTATGCATGATGATGCATAATGTTATTACCCCCAACCTTGCAACGGTGTTCTCCAGATACCGTTTTGTTTACTTTCACTTGCACTGGAGGAGCTGTAGAGACTAGAAATTGTCTTCATTTCTATTGGAGGAGTTCCCAAAACAAATTCAAAATTGGCCAACAAGGTTGCAGAACAGAGCTTGTTAGTTTTTGAACTATCCAACGGACTACGTTACCATGCCTCCCACAATGCATCCCTTGAAAACGGTTCCTAGCTGGAAATACTACTTTGCCGCACATCATCCAGATGTCCATTTACATCACCTAGCCTCACCTAGCTACAGATTGCTGCCATGGCTCGTGTTAAAAGTTGCCTTTCTGTTCTGCTGCTATTCCTTGCTGAGGGTGAGTTATATCAGTTTTCATATGAACTACACTAAATGTATAGGTGCATTATGCATCAGGTGTAACTGCAAATAGACCTTAAAGGTATACAATTAATTCGAAACATTGTTTGAAGCTAAGGTTCCTTTTTACTGGTGAATGGCCAGTCCGGTCACCATCAGTTTACAAATATCAGCATCTTCCTGTTCTATACTGTAAAAAATGAAATTTAGAAAAAGTCCATGTAGTTTAAATATCCTAGTTGACTGGACATTTGAATTGGGAGATTGTTGAGCTGACATGGAATACTTGAATAAAACAGTCTGAATTTGCTGAAAATCTCAACCTAAAAAAGTGTGTTGGCTCAAAATACATGTGTTCTATTAACATATTTCCCAATGTGCCTCTCTGCAATTTGTATTTTACTTTATTTTAATAAATGTACTTGTCAGGGACCAGTTCACAATTAAAATATATATTTCAGTAGCTGACATATGATGCATTACATCAGATATAGCAAAAAAGTGTATTTGTTGTCAGGATAGAAAAAAAACACTGGCCAGTCAATGAATTGGATAATAACTGTGTCACGCTCGTTGAAGGACGGGACGGACCAAGGCGCAGCGTGATATGCATACATATTTATTATACCGAATAAACACACGACAAAACAATAAACCAACGACACGTGAAGTCCTAAGGTAACACACAACAAACCTTACCCGGAACAAGATCCCACAACCCACTAGTGCCAATAGGCTGCCTAAGTATGGTCCCCAATCAGAGACAACGAGCTACAGCTGCCTCTGATTGGGAACCACACCGGCCAACATAGATCTACACATAATAGACCTACAACATAGAATATATATAACAAAGAGTATACACACCCTGACTCAACATATAAGCGTCCTCTGAGTCAGGGCGTGACAGTACCCCCCCCCCCCCCCCCAAAGGTGCGGACTCCGACCGCACAACATAAACATAACAGGGTAGGGGCCGGGTGGGCACTCTGGCTCCGGAGTGGCGCAGCTGACCGGAGCTGGATCAGGCACCGGTGGAGCGGACTGCTCTGGCTCCGGAGTGGAGCAGCTGACCGGTGCCGGATTAGGCACCGGTGGAACGGGCACGGGCCGTGCCGGACTGGACAAACGCACCACTGGTCTGGTGCGAGGAGCAGGCACAGGCCGGGCCGGGCTGGCGACGCGCACCACTGGCTTGGTGCGAGGAGCAGGAACAGGCCGGGCCGGGCTGGCGACGCGCACCACTGGCTTGGTGCGAGGAGCAGGAACAGGCCGGGCCGGGCTGGCGACGCGCACCACTGGCTTGGTACGAGAAGCAGGAACAGGCCGGGCCGGGCTGGCGACGCGCACCACTGGCTTGGTGCGAGGAGCAGGAACGGGCCGGACCGGACTGGCGACACGCACCACTTGCTTGGTGCGAGGAGCAGGACTGGGTTCCTTGATTAACCCCAGCTCCTTCTGCTGCCTAACCAGCTCCTCTCGCCGTGCCTCTACACCTTCCTTCTGCTCCCTCTGAACCAATAGCCCCCGTAATCTGGTGGCCTCCTCTCCTAACCAACAGATCCGCCCTATCGCGGCCTCCTGCTGCCTCGTTGTCCACACCGTGTGCCCCCCCAAAAAAATTATTGGGGTTGCCTCTCCACCCTGATCCCTTTCATGGCCTCCATCTTCCTTGCCAGATCCTCTCTTATCTCCTGCCAAGTCCATCCTCTCTGCTCCTCCTCGGCACACTGCTTGGTCCAGGTCTGGTGGGATCTTCGGTCACGCTCGTTGAAGGACGGGACGGACCAAGGCACAGTGTGATATGCATACATGTTTATTATACCGAATAAACACACGACAAAACAATAAACCAACGACACGTGAAGTCCTAAGGTAACACACAACAAACCTTATACGGAACAAGATCCCACAACCCACTAGTGCCAAAAGGCTGCCTAAGTATGGTCCCCAATCAGAGACAACGAGCTACAGCTGCCTCTGATTGGGAACCACACCGGCCAACATAGATCTACACATAATAGATCAAAACATAGAATATATATAACAAAGAATATACACACCCTGACTCAACATATAAGCGTCCTCTGAGTCAGGGCGTGACAAACTGAAACTGGAACGGAGTCAAGGTGGAGTCTAAGTACAACATTAACATACTTGTCTCAAACTTAATACAAATATAACAACCTACAAAATAATTTCCATACAAACATCTATCAAACACATGATTTTAAGTTGATTGAACTTTAATCCAACTTGTCTAGTTAAGTTGGAACAAAGTTTTGCCAACTTGTCTGATTGAGTTAGAAAAGTTTAACTTAAAATGTGAAGCTTACGCAACGCTTCTCCCAAAAGTTGATTTAACTTAAAAGGCTGTCAGACTAGTTACGAAAAGATCTTGAGTTGGGCCACCTTGATTATTTTTTACATTGTAGTTCTCAGAGGTTGATTTTATTTCATTTAAAGGTGCACTATGCAGAAATCACTCCGCCATTTACTGGTTGCAAAAATTTGAGTAGTTCGCCTAATTTCAGTTTATGTGACAAAACAAGCAATGTTTAGTGTAGAGAATCTATGTAACATCTAAACCGCTTTGAAATATATTTTCAATAACCAAAGATATTGTATTTTCAGCTGTTTGAATCTAGTGTACCAAACCTAAAGTAAAAGATGCAAAAACGAAAGTTAAAAACGGGAAGCATAGAAATAGCTCACATAAAATAGTTATACCGCTTCTTAGACTTGCTTTTAATAATGACAGATCTATAACACACTTTTCTATGTGAATTTGGTCAGCTCGCCCAAAATGTTACATATTGCAGCATTAATTTTATTAGGATCTCTTTTAACCCACCAAGGGCTAGTCTTCCAAGAGTCCTTTGAAATGGACAAACATATAAAATGGGAATTGAAATGATTGATACACTACTGCATATGTATTTATGCAGTTGTTTAGTCCCTTCAGGGCAACTCCAGCGTTATGGATGTGACATTCACACACAACATGAGAAACAAAATGGCTAATTGACTTATCATAAAGGAAAATGTTAATGTGTATATTTGTAGAACCCTATAGGGGAAGTGTAGACACAAAACGACACAATTCTAAGTAATACCAGTTTGAAGTAACTGAACAACAAAACATGCGTTATGGATGTGACGGAAATGTACAGGCATTTCTGGGAGAATGGACATATTAGCAAAAGTCTGTGAATCTCAAAGTCTTATGGTAAAATACTGATAGCCACTTTGAAAGTAAGGCTTGGCTACACACTAAAACAACAATGATGAACATATAAAAATGGTCATTTATACTTTAGAGAGAAAATGTACAGTTGTAACATTCTCCATTATGGATGTGACGCTGTGCAAAATCAGTCTGGAAAGTATTCAGACCCCTTTACTTTTTCCAAATGTTGTTACGTTATAGCCTTATTCTAAAATTGAAATATGTTTTTCCTCATCAATCAACAAAAACAAAACAGGTTTTTAGATATTTTTTCTGTCCAAATTTCTTAAAAAACAAAACAGAAATACCTTATTTACATAAGATGTTTCTACAACTTGATTGGAGTCCACCTGTGGTAAATTCAATTGATTGGACATGATTTTGAAAGGCACACACCTGTCTATTTAAGGTTCCACAGTTGATAGTATATGTCAGAGCAACAACCAAGCCATGAGGTTTAAGGTATTGTCCATAGAGCTCCGAGACAGGATTGTCTCGAGGTATAGATCTGGGGAAGGGCACCAAACATTTTCAGGGGAGAAGGGCCTTGGTCAGGGACATAACCAATAACCTGATGGTCACTCTGACAGAGCTCCAGAGTTCCTCTGTGGAGATGGGAGAACCTTCCAGAAGGACAACCATCTCTGCAGCACTCCACCAATAAGGCCTTTATGGTAGAGTGGCCAGACAGAAGCCACTCCTCAGGAAAGGCACATGACAGCCCGCTTGGAGTTTACCTAAAGGCACCTAAAGGACTCTCAGACTATGAGAAACAAGAAACAACTCTTTGGCCTGAATGCCAAGCGTCACTTCTGGAGGAAACCTGGCACCATCCATACGGTGAAGCATGGTGGTGGCAGCATTATGCTGTGGGGATGTTTTTCAGCGGCTGGGACTGGGAGACTAGTCAGGATCGAGGGAAAGATGAACGGAGCAAAGCACAGAGAGATCCTTAAAACCTGCTCTAGAATGCTCAGGACCTCAGACTGGGGCGAAGGTTCACCTTCTAACACGACAACGACCCTGAGCACACAGCCAAGACAACGCAGGAGTGGCTTCAGGACAAGTCTCTGAATATCCTTGAGTGGCCCAGTCAGAGTCCGGACTTGAACCCGATCGAACATCTCTGGAGAGACCTGAAAATAGCTGTGCAGTGACGCTCCCCATCCAACCTGACAGAGCTTGAGAGGATCTGCAGAGAAGAATGGGAGAAACTCCCGAAATACAGGTGTGCTAAGCCATACCCAAGAAGAATCAAGGCCGTAATCGCTGCCACAGGTGCTTCAACAAAGTACTGAGTAAAGCGGTCTGAATACTTATGTAAATGTCGTATTTCCATTTAAAAAATATATATTTTCAAAAGTTTCTATAACCTGTTTTTGCTTTGTCATTATGGGGTATTGAGTGGAGATTGATGAGGGATAAAAATAAATAAATAGGCTGTAACGTAACAAAATGTGGTAAAAGTGAAGGGGTCTGAATACTTTCCGAATGCACTGTATATTAAAGATTTCTTCACCAAACTTTATCATAATACTTTTATTGTCATCTGAAAATGCAGTGTACCTCAAAGAACCAAGAAATCACCAGTATCTTGAATAGTTATTGCATAGGCTATCAAAGTGCACTCGTGGGTCCCGTCTTAACCAACCATAAATGCACAAATGTGCTAAAAAAAAATGCATTTACAATTTTTTATTTGAAATTCTCTATTTTCATTGCGAATTAGAGTGCTGCATACCTCAACAACTATATAAATATTTGCACATTCATAATAACACTAGAGGAAAATGTTTTATTTAAAATATTATATGTTAATATCAATCACCTACTAACAGAATAAACATACAAAAACGTAATTCAACGTTTTTTTAAATAAACTCATGCTTTGTGTTATTCTCCTTTAACCTGCCAGCACAGGCTCTATGGTACCTCCATTTTGTTGTCCACAAAGGGACACAGGGACTGGACAACTTGACCTGCAGTCACCCAAGCCTTGTCATCCTTGGCAGGGCAAGATGTAAAAAATACCTGTGTGGTCGTTTCTACTCAAGAACTTGATTTCAACAGCATTACCGAGTCAGTCTTTCCCTGTTACCAGTCCCACAAACTGCCTGTATATACACTGACAATACCAAATATGAGGAACACCTTCCTAACTAAGTTGAAAGCCTGACTGAGTGTCTAAAAATGACTCGGGACCCACGGTCTATATTGACCCCGTTCTAGGTGTGGATCTGGACCACGGTCTATATTGACCCCGTTCTAGGTGTGGATCTGGACCACGGTCTATATTGACCCCGTTCTAGGTGTGGATCTGGACCACGGTCTATATTGACCCCGTTCTAGGTGTGGATCTGGACCACGGTCTATATTGACCCCGTTCTAGGTGTGGATCTGGACCACGGTCTATATTGACCCCGTTCTAGGTGTGGATCTGGACCACGGTCTATATTGACCCCGTTCTAGGTCCAGATCTGGACCGTGACCTGCCAGTTGAGTGTGGCTGCCCTATAAAGTCATTTTTGATTGGTTTTCATCTTTCATTGCATTAGGTAAAGTGATGAAATGCCTAATAATAGAGTGGTAATTGTCTGCTTTTAGTGAAGTGAAACTTTATGCACATCACACATGATGACATCACACAAATATGTTTTTCTGTCTCGCTCTTCTTTATTCAAACAGTTGCATAACATTACACAACACAACATAACGCAACATAACATAACATAAGAAAACACAACACAACACAACACATGATTACATAACACAACATAACATAACACAACGTAAAGTAACATAACACAAGACATGTTTACATAACGCAACATAACATAACACAACGTAAAGTAACATAACACAACGTAACACAAATTGCCTCTAAATCATAAAATTTACATTTTGGCCCTCCAGCACGTTATATTAACATAAATCGTCAAAAAAAGAAAAAGGCAAAGCCTTGTGCTACAAAATGGTACAACATATCTTTTAAAGATATGGCTTTTAGCTGACGCTTTTCTCCAAAGCAACTTACAATACAGTGAGTGCATACATATATTTAAAATATGGTCCCAGTGTGTGTGTGTGTGTGTGTGTGATTTTGTAATGTAGTAAGTACTAAGTAGTGTGTAACTGTCTTCATGCAGGGCTCTCTCAGTTGGTGAGAACACAGCAGGTTGTCACAGCAACCCTGGGAGAAGATGCAATCTTAAACTGTGAGCTCATGACACCCGAAGACGTGCGCCAAGTCACCTGGCAAAAAATGACAACTGGAGCGAATGAAAATGTGGCCACCTACAGTAAACACGGTCCCAATGTCAACCTACATTTTAAGGGGAAAGTGGAGTTTGAAGACGAGGGACTGCAGAACTGCTCTATCATCATCAGAGGAGTGTCAAGAGGAGACGAGTCCTGCTACAAGTGTCTGTTTAACACCTTTCCAGATGGACCTATCAGCGGAACGACCTGCCTCCAAGTCAATGGTAAAATCTGATAACATAATGTACTGTAAACTTCATCAGAACTTCAGGCAGCCATTTTATCAGATCATACATCCAATGTCTTGCAACCATTTATTAAATTGAATAATTTAGTAAATCATGAAAATTGAATCATTGTGGTCCTTATTCACTGTGAACTGTGTCTGTTGTTGTTCTGTAGAGCTGTATGGACCCTCACTCCTCATCACACAAACCAACAACAGTCACACCACTCTGTCCTGTTCTGCTACTGGACGACCTGCTCCCATAGTGACCTGGGAAGACAGAGAAATTCTAGAAAATTCCACAATGGCCAATGTCACCCATCCCAATGGAACTGTCAGTGTCACCATAACTTCCACGCTGGCAGCATTCAGTCTACCTGACAAAGACACCAGGGTTGGCTGTATGGTGTCACTGTTCTCCGGGGGTGTCACCAAGAATGTATCCATGGTTATTCCAGCTAGCAATCAAGCTCCATTTGCTGGTGAGAAATGGTTCTGTACATGCCTACAGTAACAATCAATATACTGGTGTCATTCTGAAGTACTGTTTCTGTTTTTCTGTGCTAGGTCTACCTGAGGTCACTGATGGTGACAGGATCAGTGGTAAGTCATTCATCTAATGACCACAACTAATCTCTGACACTCTTCTCTGTGAATTGTACCATTCTCATCTTGTCATCTTTCACAGGTAAGCGAACAGTGATTGGTGCAGTGATGGGTTCACTGTGTTTCATTGCTGTGTGCTGTGGAGCTGTGGCACTGTGGTGCAAACAGAGAAATAAAATGAGAAGGTCAGTTTTACTGTCCAGATGACAAAGAGAAAATACAGTATTCATTTGACATTGATTGTCAAGCTTACAAAAACAATCTTTAGTCCAAATACCACAGCCCATGACAGAGAACAGGAAGAACTATCAACAGTCAACCCTCAACATGATGACCCTGAAATCTAGAGGTCTAATCTAACAGTAAGACACATATTCTAATTAACAGTAGGGTTTATGATTTCAAGTAAACAGTGTTTGTACTTACTGTAGGTAAGGAATAGAGTAGAACACACTGAATTGTTTTTCAGCATCAAATGGAATCCCTGGAGAATATGTAACTGTAAATGCCCACAAAGTAGTTATATTAGTACACTTTTACAACAGATGATTTGGCTCTTCTCAGTATCATTGCCAATTTTAATTTCTTTCAGGACCACAACAATCTCCAGTCCATTCAAAATGTAAGTATTTGTACAACCTTATTTGTATCATCCTGGTAGAGTGCTTGAAACAGAGATGATTGTGAATGTTATAATGTGTCACAATAACCCCAAAATTCAAAACATCACTCCAAAATGTACTTTTTGTGTTTCAGGTTACACTCCCTCAGCTCCTCAGCCAAGCGTATGATGCAACAAGCACAAGATGTTGTAGAGAAGTAGGTTTAAGTCCTCTTTTATTTTATTCTCTCAACAAGAAGCTCTGGAATGATGTTCTGTGGTGGTAGTCACGGTGACTGAATACATGCAAATGATTTGCATTGTTGTTATGTTAATCATGTCACTAATATAGGATACTCCATTCAGTCAATTTTTTAATTACCTTATTTTATACAGAATGCAGTGCATTCGGAAAGTATTCAGACCCCTTGACTTTTTCCACATTTTGTTACGTTACAGCCTTATTCTGAAATGGATTAAATAAAAGTATACTGTATAATGATCATTTTAATTGTATTTTAAACACCTTGGTCAGCTATTTGTTTGTATTAGACCATAGCTGTCAACACTTGACAGTTTTGACATTTCTATCTTAGGAACCTTTTAGAGTCTTACGAGAACTGAGTGACTACCACACTGTCTAACACACATCTGTGTGGTTCAGAGACCGTCTCTATCCATAGGCATTGTGGGTACGGAATAGTGGACTGAATGGCTGACACACATACAGTGGGGGAAAAAGTATTTAGTCAGCCACCAATTGTGCAAGTTCTCCCACTTAAAAAGATGAGAGAGGCCTGTAATTTTCATCATAGGTACACGTCAACTATGACAGACAAAATGAGAAGAAAAAAATCCAGAAGATCACATTGTAGGACTTTTAATGAATTTATTTGCAAATTATGGTGGAAAATAAGTATTTGGTCAATAACAAAAGTTTCTCAATACTTTGTTATATACCCTTTGTTGACAATGACACAGGTCAAACGTTTTCTGTAAGTCTTCACAAGGTTTTCACACACTGTTGCTGGTATTTTGGCCCATTCCTCCATGCAGATCTCCTCTAGAGCAGTGATGTTTTGGGGCTGTCGCTGGGCAACACGGACTTTCAACTCCCTCCAAAGATTTTCTATGGGGTTGAGATCTGGAGACTGGCTAGGCCACTCCAGGACCTTGAAATGCTTCTTACGAAGCCACTCCTTCGTTGCCCGGGCGGTGTGTTTGGGATCATTGTCATGCTGGAAGACCCAGCCATGTTTCATCTTCAATGCCCTTGCTGATGGAAGGAGGTTTTCACTCAAAATCTCACGATACATGGCCCCATTCATTATTTCCTTTACACGGATCAGTCGTCCTGGTCCCTTTGCAGAAAAACAGCCCCAAAGCATGATGTTTCCACCCCCATGCTTCACAGTAGGTATGGTGTTCTTTGGATGCAACTCAGCATTCTTTGTCCTCCAAACACGACGAGTTGAGTTTTTACCAAAAAGTTCTATTTTGGTTTCATCTGACCATATGACATTCTCCCAATCCTCTTCTGGATCATCCAAATGCACTCTAGCAAACTTCAGACGGGCCTGGACATGTACTGGCTTAAGCAGGGGGACACGTCTGGCACTGCAGGATTTGAGTCCCTGGCGGCGTAGTGTGTTACTGATGGTAGGCTTTGTTATTTTAGTCCCAGCTCTCTGCAGGTCATTCACTAGGTCCCCCCGTGTGGTTCTGGGATTTTTGCTCACCGTTCTTGTGATCATTTTGACCCCACGGGGTGAGATCTTGCGTGGAGCCCCAGATCGAGGGAGATTATCAGTGGTCTTGTATGTCTTCCATTTCCTAATAATTGCTCCCACAGTTGATTTCTTCAAACCAAGCTGCTTACCTATTGCAGATTCAGCCTTCCCAGCCTGGTGCAGGTCTACAATTTTGTTTCTGGTGTCCTTTGACAGCTCTTTGGTCTTGGCCATAGTGGAGTTTGGAGTGTGACTGTTTGAGGTTGTGGACAGGTGTCTTTTATACTGATAACAAGTTCAAACAGGTGCCATTAATACAGGTAACGAGTGGAGGACAGAGGAGCCTCTTAAAGAAGAAGTTACAGGTCTGTGAGAGCCAGAAATCTTGCTTGTTTGTAGGTGACCAAATACTTATTTTCCACCATAATTTGCAAATAAATTCATAAAAAATCCTACAGAGATTTTCTGGATTTTTTTATTTCTCAATTTGTCTGTCATAGTTGACATGTACCTATGATGAAAATTACAGGCCTCTCTCATCTTTTTAAGTGGGAGAACTTGCACAATTGGTGGCTGACTAAATACATTTTTTCCCAACTGTAGATAGGCCTGCTGGTTATTGTATGTGTAAATACAGTATCTATGTATGTAAATATATTTAGCAGTTGGTTAATGATGAAACATGATAAATCCACACTAGACTTGTGTTTTGTTTTATTCTTCCCTTTAATATGAATCAAATGTTGTAATATTATAACCTACACAATGTCATCATGTAGACTACTTTCATGGTGTGTGTTATAATATTATAATCTACACAATGTCACCATGTAGACTACTGTCATGGTGTGTGTTATAATATTATAACCTACACAATGTCATCATGTAGACTACTTTCATGGTGTGTGTTATAATATTATAATCTACACAATGTCATCATGTAGACTACTTTCATGGTGTGTGTTATAATATTATAATCTACACAATGTCACCATGTAGACTACTGTCATGGTGTGTGTTATAATATTATAACCTACACAATGTCATCATGTAGACTACTTTCATGGTGTGTGTTGTAATATTATAACCTACACAATGTCATCATGTAAACCACTTTCATGGTGTGTGTTATAATATTATAATCTACACAATGTCATCATGTAGACTACTGTCATGGTGTGTGTTATAATATTATAACCTACACAATGTCATCATGTAGACTACTTTCATGGTGTGTGTTATAATATTATAATCTACACAATGTCATCATGTAGACTACTTTCATGGTGTGTGTTATAATATTATAACCTACACAATGTCATCATGTAGACTACTTTCATGGTGTGTGTTATAATATTATAACCTACACAATGTCATCATGTAGACTACTTTCATGGTGTGTGTTATAATATTATAACCTACACAATGTCACCATGTAGACTACTTTCATGGTGTGTGTTATAATATTATAACCTACACAATGTCATCATGTAGACTACTTTCATGGTGTGTGTTATAATATTATAATCTACACAATGTCATCATGTAGACTACTTTCATGGTGTGTGTTATAATATTATAATCTACACAATGTCATAATGTAGACTACTTTCATGGTGTGTGTTATAATATTATAATCTACACAATGTCATCATGTAGACTACTTTCATGGTGTGTGTTATAATATTATAACCTACACAATGTCATCATGTAGACTACTTTCATGGTGTGTGTTATAATATTATAACCTACACAATGTCATCATGTAGACTACTTTCATGGTGTGTGTTATAATATTATAATCTACACAATGTCATAATGTAGACTACTTTCATGGTGTGTGTTATAATATTATAATCTACACAATGTCATCATGTAGACTACTTTCATGGTGTGTGTTATAATATTATAACCTACACAATGTCATCATGTAGACTACTTTCATGGTGTGTGTTATAATATTATAACCTACACAATGTCATCATGTAGACTACTTTCATGGTGTGTGTTATAATATTATAACCTACACAATGTCATCATGTAGACTACTTTCATGGTGTGTGTTGTAATATTATAACCTACACAATGTCATCATGTAGACTACTTTCATGGTGTGTGTTATAATATTATAACCTACACAATGTCATCATGTAGACTACTTTCATGGTGTGTGTTATAATATTATAACCTACACAATGTCATCATGTAGACTACTTTCATGGTGTGTGTTATAATATTATAATCTACACAATGTCATCATGTAGACTACTGTCATGGTGTGTGTTATAATATTATAATCTACACAATGTCATCATGTAGACTACTTTCATGGTGTGTGTTATAATATTATAACCTACACAATGTCATCATGTAGACTACTTTCATGGTGTGTGTTATAATATTATAACCTACACAATGTCATCATGTAGACTACTTTCATGGTGTGTGTTATAATATTATAACCTACACAATGTCACCATGTAGACTACTGTCATGGTGTGTGTTGTAATATTAGAACCTAATGCTGTAAGATACACAATGTTGTAATGTACTTTGTTGTGTGTTGTGTGTGTTTGTTGTCTACTTTTATAAATAAAATGTTTAAACAATGTTGTAATGTACGTTGTGACATCGCTTTTTATTTAATGTGTCATACATTTTCTGCTGGTAATGCTTTAAAAGTGAATCGTCTTTGATTATTCTGCTACTCAAGAGACCAACCAAAGTTACAAACAATTGCCACTAGGGGTCGCCTAAATATAATTTTAGGGAGAGAGGTCGTAGAGAAACTGGGTTGATACTGTAGTTTTGCAGCGCTCATGCAACTCGATGCACAGTTGACTTGACTGACTCTCTCTGACGTCACTCACGAAGAGGCGGAACATATCACACCCGGTCTGTTCAGTTTAAATACTTTTTAAAAACACGGATTTGATAGTCAGTGTAGCAGATTATGTTTTGCACCATACAAAGGACACAATTAAATTATTCTCTCTAACTCCATGCACTGCTCAAAGGGTAAGTAGTTGTTAAAGCAGTATGTTATAGGGCCCAGTTAAAATACAAATATGTTAAACGTTCATAATAAAGTTGTTGATATTGCATTATTTTTGAAAGGTGAGACAAACCTATAGGCCCTACATTTATAATAATCAATGTTTATATATTTTTTGGGGGGGGATTTATATAGCCTACTTAGAACCTGGAACAACTCCAAATACTTACAATACATGACCAAAAGTATGTGGGCACCTGCTCGTCGAACATCTCATTCCAATACCATGGGCATTAATTATCATGTTTCAGGAGAAGACCCAGATGCAGACAGTGTTGAAGTAACAAAAAGTGTATAACAAAAACAAGGCACAGGCAAATGACAGGTCAGGGGCAGGCAGGGGGCAGTAATCCAGATCAGAGTCCAAAAGGTACAGAATGGCAGGCAGGCTCAGGGTCAGGGCAGGCAGAATGGTCAAAACCAGGAAAACTAGAAAACAGGAACTTGAGCAAGACAGGAGCAAGGGGAAAACCGCTTGTAGGCTTGACGAAACAAAACGAACTGGCAACAGACAAACAGAGAACACAGGTATAAATACACTGGAGATAATGGGGAAGATGTGCGACACCTGGAGGGGGGTGGAGACAATCACAAAGACAGGTGAAACAGATCAGGGTGTGACATTAATATGGAGTTGGTCCCCCCTTTGCTGCTATAACAGCCTCCACCTTTCTGGGAAGGCGTTCCACTAGATGTTGGAACATTGCTGCGGGGACTTGCTTCCATTCAGCCACAAGAGCATTAGTGAGGTCGGGCACTGATGTTGGGCGATTAGGCCTGGCTCGCAGTCTGCGTTCCAATTCATCCCAAAGGTGTTCGATGGGGTTGAGGTCAGGGCTCAGTGCAGGCCAGTCAAGTTCTTCCACACCGATCTCGACAAACCATTTTTGTATGGACCTCACTTTGTGCACGGGGGAATTGTCATGCTGAAACAGGAAAGGGCCTTCCCCAAACTGTTGCCACAAAGTTGGAAGCACAGAATCGTCTAGAATGTAATTGTATGCTGTAGCGTTAAGATTTCCCTTCACTGGAACTAAGGAGCCCGAACCATGTAAAACAACCCCAGACCATTATTCCTCCTCCAACAAACTTTACAGTTGGCAGAGTTAGCGTTCTCCTGGCATCCGCCAAACCCAGATTCGTCCGTCGGACTGCCAGATGGTGAAGTGTGATTCATCACTCCAAAAAACGCGTTTCCACTGCTCCAAAGTCCAATGGTGGCAAGCTTTACACCACTCCAGCCAACACTTGGCATTGCGCATGGTGATCTTAGGCTTGTGTGCAGCTGCTTGGCCATGGAAACCCATTTCATGAAGCTCCCGACGAACAGTTCTTGTGCTGAGGTTGCTTCCAGAGGCAGTTTGGAACTCATTAGTGAGTGTTGCAACTCGGGTGTGGCTGAAGTAAAAATGAATTTGCAAAGATTTCTAAAAACCTGTTTTTGCTTTGTCATTATTGGGTATTGTATTGATGAGGGGGAAAATGATTTAATCCATTTTAGAATAAGGCTGTAATGTAACAAAATGTGGAAAAAGTCAATGGGTCTGAATACTTTCCGAATGCACTGTAAGTGTTTGGTTTGGGAAGAGAAGAGTGGCATCTGCTCCTCCTGTCTCCAATGTTGTCTCTTGAGTCTCTGTAAACAGGAAGAAAACAGATTTTGAGTCTATTGTTTCATGAGATAGGTTTGATTGAGCATTAGTAGCTACTGGTAGTGAAGTAAAAAGGACAGTTTATTCTTATTGACTATTACAACTGTAGTGAACAATTTGGTTACAATACAGTGTGCTTATTACTGTGTAGGTCTAACTACTGTAAGTACAGCGTAACAAGTACTGTCATTACTCATTGTTACCCTGTACCTAGGGTTAGGGTTAGTGTACAAATTAAATAGATCATGCAATATCTCTCTTACCTTCAACAGCTGTGAATAGACCCCACAGCACCAGAAACAGAGCAAGTCTGGATATACTTCCACACATACTGACCAACTGCAGAACCACACATTGACCCAACACTGCCTGCTCAGACCGACTACAGATATGACTAAAACAGTGGAGGCTCCTCAGAGGAGGAAGGGGAAGACCATCCTCAGTCAATTTAATAAAAATATAAATAGTGAAACATTTCAAACTGTTTTCCTTTTTAGATAAAACAATACTAAATATATTCACGTCACCAAATAATTGATTAAAATACACTGTTTTGCAATGAAGGGCTAAAGTAGCCTCAACAGCACTCTGCAGGGTAGCACCATGGTGTAGCCGGAGAACAGCTAGCTTCCTTCCTCCTCTGGGTACATTGACTTCAATACAAAACCTAGGAGGCTCATGGTTCTCACCCCCTTCCATAGACTTACACAGTAATTATCACAACTTCCGGAGGATGTCCTCTAACCTATCAGAGTTCTTGCAGCATGAACTGACATGTTGTCCACCCAATCAAAGGATCAGATAATTAATCTAGTACTGAAAGCATAAGCTACAGCTATCTAGCACTGCAGTGCATGAAATGTGGTGAGTAGTTGACTCAAAGAGAGAAAAATACAATAGTTGAACAGTTTTGAACAAATTAATTTCTTCAAAAATGAAGGAGAGAGAGAGAGAGATATTTCGTCATTTTTTTTCACTTTCACTTTCACAGCTAGCAAATGCAGCTAGCTAGTTTAGATTACTCAAACACCCGG